ATGATTTACTAAACCGAACAATGCGAATTCGTTACTCTTATAAAAAAAATATAGATCAAAGTGATTAGAATAGCTTTTATTTGTTTTGGAGAAAGATATTGCCTCAATATATAAAAATTTTGAATATAATCGGTTTACCATTCCTAATTAGTTCAAAAACGAAGTTCTGATATATATTTATTTTTTGCTGAAATTACGTTTAGTGTTTAGTTAAATCAAGTTATTCTACTTAGCTTATTAAACGTTATTTCAGAAATTGAAACAACAGAGAAGAAGAAAACGTGAAATAAACACAAAAGAAGTTTATCAAGTCGTTTAATTCACAGATATAACGCATAAAATAGCTTTAAATATTAGCAGTCATTAGGTGATGTTAAACATTTGCAGGTTTTCAGATTGATCATGTAATGGTTTGCAGAAGTTTGATATTGCCTAATGATTGCTAATACTCAAAGCTATGTAATGTTGACAGTTATTAAATGAGATTAAACCTTTGCAGGTGTTTTTAGATTGATTACAATATAGCCTGCAAATGCAAAGGAAAAGACTGCAAAACAGAACTTCCAGTAACACTGACATTTTAATCCTTTTTTTTTTTTCTTTTGCAGATACGCCTAGAAATTGAAAGCTCTCTAAATATCTGAAAAACGCGTGCTATTAACAGTACAAGCTATTGAGGAAGCAAATAGCAGTAAATGATCTTTAATATAAGACGGCAATTAGTCAAGGCTGAATAGTTGATAATCACAAATTTGCCACATATTCAAATTTAACATAATCAAATTTTTTTTGTGCCTGACACATTGAGAATAGCATTGAAATAAAACTTACTATTTAATCATATCAGGAAGTAATTATTTTGTTATTACTTAAAATTAATATAGGTTTGAGTTTCTCAAATTTAAAAGTTTTTAGCAGACTAGAAACCAGTAACTTTTGACCTTTAGAAGGCATATTAAACAGAACTACGATGCCCTTTTCTTCTGTTAGAGGAAGTAAAAGTGTTAAGATTTTAATAAATAATGAAAAGACTCTAATTTGAAACTCTATTCAACTTTCATGACATTTTTTTTCTCCAGCATGCAACATTTTTATAAAATAAAATGTTTGTTGAAGATTTTCACCTGAGACTAATTTCTTGCTGCCAAGATAATTATAAAGATTAAACGAAGCAGCGAAAAATAGAAAAAAAAGATCAAAGTAAAAAAGTTATTGCAATTAATAAGTCGAAAAAACTTTATTTGTTTAGTTTCACATTTTTCTAACCTAGTTATTGCTCTTTTCTTTTTCTGAGTTTTGGTGCAGTATCTTAAAGATCGAAAATTTGCATTTTTGAAGAAATACGTCAATATCATTCCCACTGCATACAATTTTTCAGTACAGTGCTTTTTCGCGTCAATTTGAAAGCGCACACTAAATTCTTTTTACAGGTACCTTAGTTTAACTAAGTTTTAATTTTTGATTTAGTTATCAGAAAAAAAGATTTATGTTTTAATAGTGCTTTGTCACAAAGTTTTTCACTAGTTAAAACAAAATTCTTTACAATTTGATGTAAAAATAATACCATTTTGCAGAAAAGTTTTAAAAAATCAAAATCCTATTATTTGTGAAACGTAAAGTAAGAATAAAAATAATACTGGTTTTACAGCGACAGAATACGGTAACGAGAACATTAGACAAATAAGAAATAATGCACTTGTCGTTTGTTTTAATGCTCTTAAAACCTCAAAATTAAAAATTAAAAATTAATTGTCAAAAATAAACATTTTCAACATTTCTCATCAATTTTAGCTAGTGTATCTTTTTTTCTTCCATTTTTTCAGATTTATTCGGTATTTTTTGACAATTTTTTTTGACTTTTTACTGTTACACTTAGCAAAAAAGTTCAACAAGCAATTAGAAAAGACTTTAATTACAGTGGATAAATTTATTTTTTAAAGAAATTGAACTTAAATTTTAAAACTTTGCTTTGAAATTACATTCTGCAAGTAGAGCCTTGCACTCAAAAACCATTTCTAATGCCGTACTGTCCGTTGCTTCATTATAGCTTGGGGAAATCTTCTACAGCGAATAGCAAAAAATGGCAGTAAAATTAATCTTCTCGAAGCGGGACGCACTGTCACAGTTTTTCAAGTAACCAAATATTACCCTGGGTCTGCAACGAACTGATTATACAAATGGTTTCTTTTTATCTGATTTCTTGGAAAAATCTCTCTAATTTGTGTTCTATAGCTGTATTTCTTTAGTCGCTATCAATTATTACTGCATTTGACTTTTGTATTCTGTTGGCAAAAGATTCATAATAATAAAATTCTGCATTTTAGCTAGACTTCAAATTTCAAGCTATGTAATTTTCTTGCACTACGTGTTTAACTTTTCTTGTGCTTCAGTGCTAGTGTCTTCAAGTTTATTTATTCATGCCTTCGTACGCTACAGGCTTGTAAGAACATTAACTTTAGTCATTGTTTTATAAAAAACTGTCAATCAAACTACGACATTTCTTATTTTACGATATTCTTGCTTACATATGTTTCAAGTTTAAAACCGGCTTCACAGTTGTTAAGTAACGCATGTTGTTTTTGCCTTTGCGCACTTACTTATTTATCACTTAGCAGTTTAAAAACATTGTCAGCTGCAAGTTCTTCGTAATTTGCAGTTTCTCCCTTCATCTTATCTGTGCTTTAAGAAACGAGACTAGTCT